TGGCAAGTTGACCCCTACAGCTGGTGGCAAGTTGACCCCTACAGCTGGTTGCAACTTGGCCTCCTCCACTACCTTCCTGTTTTCCCTCTCCCCCATGGGGAAGTAGAACAGAATGCTTTTCATGCCACGGGCGTGGAGCGCATCGCCGCTGACTACGTCGGAGCACATAATTTGAATGCCCCTGAGTTGGGTCAAGCTGCTAGTCAGAGTATCGAAAGTGTAAATCACTTTGAAAAAATATACAAAAAAATTGTCTGTGTAATGAGTGAGCTGAATTCTCTTGCTGACCCTGGCGACCTTTCCCCTGCCAAAGTATTTCAGCGGATGCACATGTTCGCCCTCCATATTGAAAAAAAAATACACATGTAGACCCTTGGCTTTGAGCTTTTGAATCCTTAATCGGATATACAACTGCTTGGTCATAAAATAAATGAGAAAATAAAAATCGTTAATGTATTGGAAGCGTACTCCATAGTTCACACTTATATGTATGCACTTTTTACCATCAATTGGATCGGTATCTTTTTTTTTTAATTTTATTAAAGTGGCTTCCGGCAGGTCATCACAAGGTACGGGAGAATCATTCTTGTCCACAGGCAAATTATAAATGTTGAAATGAATAAATTCACCATTTAAATAATTTAACTGTCTTAATACGTCCATGTAGTGTTCGTTTTTTTTGTAGAAAAAGAAGAATTTACTTATCGGGTGAATGACCTGATCGAAGAAGGTGTTTGTTATGTCTTCCATGTTGGCTCGGTTGGCTTGGACAAACTTGTTAAAAATGGAGTCCACACGTGGATCCCTTTTGTTCTTCATGGCGTTCAGGAAATACTCATCGGAGGGGCTGCGAGTGGTGCAGTCAGAAGATGCATTAACCTGGTTGCGTCCCGCGACAGCGGAGGCGACATACTCATCGAACAGATTTTCCAAGTCTTCGAAGTTGAATGGGGCGTTCTGTGTTGTGTGCCCCTCAGCGGCGTAATTGCCTTCCTTCACTAAACCGTCCCCCTGTTCGGTACCGGCCCCTTCATTGTGATCACCCGTAACAGAACTCACATCGCATTGCTCTAACGAGCGTTGCTTCTGAACATTATTTTGTGAAGTGGTACTGCAGGCAGCTTCCTGACCGTTTATGTCCCGCCCGGAGAAATACTTGCCCATAATAAATATACAAAAATGATGATAATAATCGAAAAATAAAAAACGTTTTTTGCAAAACTTAACAGCTTTCCTAGACATTATTAAGTTGGAGGAAATTCCTATGGACACACTAAGGTTGGTTAAGTTGTAAATATCTTCCGCGATTTGTTTAGCCTTTATGTAAATGTCTTGCTCATTTTCGTAAAATAATTGAACGATTGACTCATCGACTGAGTGTACCCTCACATTTCTTGAGTAATTCATGAGGATGAGTAGAAACAAATAACTACACCTTAGGATGTTGCAAAAATTATACTTGATATAACGTATATTGTCTTTATGCATTTTGGTGATTTCCCATTTTACCATCCCGTTGCTGATTTTGTTTTTCTTCCCCCAATAATTGGTAGCACTTATAATGCTATAACTCTCCTCCTTCTTCAAGCTGTGACATACACATAATATTTCGTGGTTGCCCATTTTTTTTTTCATGCCATGCTGATCACTTGCATTTTTCACACTTGCACTTAGGAAGTAGTTGTCGAAGTCAATGTACAGGTAGACGCACTTCCTCCTGTCGTTTTCGTTTATGTCCTCAAATTTAAAAAATTCACGACTTATATATTTCCAATTTCCCAGAATGTACATCCTGGAGTTGTATAGGTAGGCCTTGATGCTTTCGATTAGTTTGTCCGAGGCGTATCCCTCGCTGAGGGGGTGATTAGAGCCGTTTGCACCTTCTCCTGTGCTGCCTGCTTCTCCCCCTCCGTCTGCACTTATAACATCATCGCTGTTGCGTGTGGACACCTCGGCTTGCTCCCCCTCACGTGATGTCGACCCCATGGAAGAAGCAACTTCGTCGCTATCCTTCTTCTTCAACACAGTGTCGAAGAAAAAATGAAGCATATCATTTTCCCATACGTTCTTCACCTTTATATTCAATTCGCTCTTTTTCTTAATCCAGTTAATTTCCGTCTCATTCAGGTGACTCAATATTCTATACTTCCTCGAAAATTCTTCAAACGTGTTCTTGTTGATGTACAAATTGGGACTTACATTGGGAAAGGCGTTTTCTTCTAATTCCTTCTTCAGGTAAATCGTGCGCAACCTTCTGAAATACTCAGAGCAGTTACACACAATGTAGTTCTTTAAATTTTTGTAGCTCATGTGCATGTTCAGCATTAGCAAATGTTTGTCGATCGGTATGTGATCTGTGAGTCTTTTACCTGAAGAGGAGTCATCAGCCAGTACACCCTTCTGAGGAGAATCTGCCACAATACATTCTTCTCCCCCCTTGCGATGATCCAAAACAGGGGTACAATTCCGTGAATGTACATTGGAAGCAACTAACGACGGCACCTCCCCACCCACGCTCCGCCTCCTCCTGCTCTTCTTGACGGGAAAGAACTCAGTTATTTGCCTACTGTTATAACGCAGTACTGATGGTAAGTAGGACTGTTCAGGAAGTCTGCACTGAAATTTGACACAGTCGAAAATGTACTTATCTACTACTATAAAAATTTTCGACTTTTTAATTGCTTTTTTATAATCCATATATTTCTTTGACCCTAACGCCATATTGTTGCTAATTATGTGAGTCACCTTACTTGTTAATGCATTATGTATAACCCCCCCATTTTGTACAATCATTATTTCGATCTGCTCTTTCTTGTTTATGTAGGAAGCATGCACATTTCTCTTTCTCGTTTGTACCGTTTCGTACCTTTTCACGAAGGTATCAAACTCATTCCTATCCCTACTTGTATGAGTACCTTCCAAAATTTTTGCCAAATCGTACTGGTTGCTTTTTGTGGGAGTCTTGTCTAAACTCATGTCTGCTTCTTCGATGTGGCGATCGTGTAGCTTCGTCAACTCTGGCCTTTCATAATCACTACTTCCAAAATTAACATAATTATTCCCACCACCCAAGTCGCTGTTGTTATAAGGCGTAATACATTTCGATTGACTACTGAAGTTGTTGTAGTACCTATATACTGTCTTCTCCTCTGCATGGTTCGTGAAATTATTCCATTCATCCTGCGGGCCCACTTTGTACCCATCTCCCCTGTACAGTGTGGTCATTTGGCAAGGGCTTTCCCCCTGGACCCCTTCATCCTTGTTATGGCTCTTATCACACGTGTTGTAAAGTGAAAAGAAACTTACAAAATCGTCAATGTAAAAATTGCAATTGGTGAACAGCTGGCGCCTGTTCCTCGAGTCTTCACGTTTATTCTTCTTATCACTTCCTTCCGCTTGCTCTATCTCTGCGCTATATTTTTTGTTGTAATTCAGAGGTGTTAGTTCCTCCTTTCGCCACATGTATGTGCTGAAGCTCCTCGAACCTCCATACTCCAAGTCCATTTTGCAGGGGCATTTTGCGTGCACGCAGAGCACCGTGAAAAGGGACCTTTGAAAGGGACAAAAAAACAACGTCTCACCAACAAAACAGATCCGCGCTTGATAAAATTGACCCTAGAGTGAAAACAGGGATGCGGGGGGAGAAACCGAAGACGCGAGAACAACGCCTTCGTTTTGTCAAGCCATGTGCTCCGCAATGGCGCCAATCAATTGCGCAAAAAAAGAAGTTTCGCAGAGTTGCGTCCGTCCCCGTTCACAACGCCACAACAGGGGCAAATTGTTCCGTCTCCTGCGGACGTGGCTTCCCCACAGCTTGGGATCTATTGCGAGCAACGGTTGCGATAATATGCAAAGCGCGTCATCAATATAAAAACCGCGTCGTCAATGTACAGGGCTGCAAAAAGGGACGCAGAAGCAGAGGCATGCTTTCGCCCCCAAGTGACATTCCAAGCACGTCACAACTCTTTCTTTCCGTTGCTCAGTAAAAAAAAAAAAACAAAAAAAAAACAACAGTTGCTCCAACGGTGCGCGGAGCATTTACCAAGCTGCTTGTGCCCATACGCATTTAATACATATAGGAGTAAATGCAACTCATCTGGCACCACGACAAATTATTTTTTTTTTTTATAAAAAAAAAAAAGGGGGCAAAACGGGAACAGAACAGAACAATAAACGGGAACAGAACAGAAAAATAAACGGGAAAAAAACAAGCAAAACAACGGGAAAAAAACAAGCAAAACAACGGGAAAAAAACAAGCAAAAAAACGGGAAAAAAACGGAGAAAATATGGGAAAATGGATATTTATATATATAATACGCACAATGGTATATTTATATATAATACCCCCAGGCGCCAAATTAACAGTCAACTACAGAGACACAAAAACAAAAAAAAAACAAAATTCAATGCTGTGGAAACAAGTGTCATTGTTATAGAAAATTAAACTGTGCGCAGTGTTTCTCATATGTGTTTGCAAATAAAAACTTGCTAAAATGTGATACAGGAAATTCTCGCCATTTTGTGTGAAGAGAATTACACTGTGTAGTTTCTCCCTGTTCAATTTTCAGGGGCGGGGAGAGAGGGCTTTAATTTTCTAGCATTTATGCTATCTTATAATGTACACATGGTTACCCGTTCTGCAGATAATATACACATATATATATATGCTTATTGTTCATTCATTTTTTTTTTTAAGTTTCCATTTTTAACTATGTCCTTTTGGGGAAAACTTAATACACAAAAGTCAATTTTGCTTTTTATTGTTTTATTTTTTTAATATTATTTTTTTTTCCCTTTAGAGATGTTTAAAAAAAAAAAAAAAAAAAAAAAAAAAAAATTGCATCGTTTCGCTTCGTTGCCCTCGCTTTGACCGAGCACTTCGGGGGATAACTCTTTTTAACGCTAATCTCATCGTTTGATATTTTTTTACGTACATATCGATTCCCCGATCTGTGGAAATTATTCTCTAGGACGAGCTCTTTCCCCTGCGTGTCTGCGCATATTGTATTTCACATCGTCCTTGACAAACTGTATATGCTTAACCTCCGCACTTGCAACGAGTGTACACATGCAAATTTTGTTAATGTATTCTGGTCAAATTGTTCACACGAAAGAGCTCTCGTCGTTTTCGCCATGAGCTAGTCGTACCCCACACATGTACATTATATATATGTATGTACGTGTGTTTATACATACGCCATGTGCGCACAAGAACAAACATAATTCGAAACGGGTATAATGACCTTCCTGTCGCCCCCTTCTTAAATCTGCCCTTTTTCATTCTTGCCAAATAAAGATGAATTTACTAGCCATTGTTTTGACGAGACATGTAGATGATATCATTTTCCTTTGTTCCGCCACCGACTTTAATGAGTAAGGAAGACAGGGACAGCGGCCCCCTCTGCACGGCACAACTTATAATGACGCACGTTACGTGGCCATAATATGGCTCACGTGCAGTAGCTGCCCAAATGGATCTCCCCTGTTAACCCGCATTTCCGCAGAGTGCATATATGAGTAGTTGGGTCCCTGTTCCGCCCCGCCACACACACTTTGCTACCTCCGTCTCTGCACTCGATCTCCTTTATTATTTCAACCCTCCCCTCCCCCTTCGATTTCGATTTCGCATTATGCAGTTATTCTTTTATCAAGAAGAAGGCCTTCAAAGAAGCTGTGTTTTTTGTAGCGAGGACCATTCCGTCAAGGGTTGGCAAAGACGGCGATAATGTCTTTGCAGCTATTGGGCTGTACCACCCCACTCCAATGCATTATAAAAAGCACCCACACGTGTGTCTTTTCTCTAATAATCCTTTTGCCATTACCCCCCCCCCCCCCCCCCCCCC